GATGGTGATGGTGCTGATCTGATCAATGTAGGTTGTCGTTCGAAATCAGGCCCGAGGAGAGGATCCCGCACATCGTCGCATTGTCGGATCATGCCAGGCAGGAAACGGCGCTTCCGCCTACGCTTGGATCGACCATGGCTTCCTTCATGGCGTACCTCTTGTTCTGGCAGGATACGATCGATCATTGCAAGTCAGCCGAAGTCAATGCCACATTACTCGATCACTTCCAGGTCTTATTCCTCGAGCAGCTTCTGTACGTTCCCCCGAATTGTTTGTCTAGATCTCGCTGATTTTCGTGTCTCCCAGGTATCCATCTTTACTAGAGTCCTCCGACGTCGAAGGGGGTTCCACAGCGGCCGTTCTCACCTACTTGTATCGCATCCTAGACTCCATCGAGCAGGATGACCTGGTGCACCGGATTCTCCACTTCCTGCTCGCATCGCCGTCTGGGTTCGAGTCCAAGTCGGCCCAGAAGAGTGTTGACATGTCAATGAGCCGGCGAAAATCGCTAGATGTCTTGGCTGCCTTTTCGGAAGAAGCGGCGCGACCATCGCCGTCCCTGTTCAATCTGAGAGACCTGGCCCTGCTTGGTCTGCAGTCTAGGAACCGTCAGACCGTTCTGGCTACTCTACGCCTCATGGCTGTTGTCCTTCAACGGCATCACACGTTTGCCCGCTCGTTGATTCGAACCCTCCCTGGTCAACCGGCAGGGCAGCGCACAGTTGGCGCACTGAACGCGGAACTAGGTCAGCTTGTCACATTGGCCACGTCGGTCGTCGATGACCCGACGTTGGAAGAGTCGTTTGAACACTACCTCAAAGACGCATCGTTGATCTTAGAGTCTCGGTTGAGCATACCTGCGGACGATGATTTCGAAGAGGACCAACCGTTAGAGATTAGACAAGACGACCCCATCTGTCAGGAACTTTTGAATTGCCTGGACGGGTTCTTTGCCAACAGCGTCATCGTCAACTTGGCATTGACTGAAGTCTTGATGAGTGTCGCGTCGTCCCATCTCCTCTCTCTTGATGGTTGGCTCCTGGTCGATCCGTCCAAGTACGAGTACAGTGACTCGCCGCCACCCGAGGATGCCAATGTCATGGAACAGATCCAGTTTGCTTACACGGAACCATCCTGGTCCAGCGATCACACACCAACCCTGACATCCGTATTACAGAAGCTAGTGCAACAGATCCAACAGTGGCGGAAAGAGATTCCCGACTTCGACATTTTGATTGCCGCGCGACGGGACCTGCTGCACAATGAGGACGACCCGACATCGCCGCAGACGTCTCAACAAGCCTCCGGAATTCAAAGCCCCGTCGGCGGCCCGTCGGAGCGACCCCGACCCAATATCGACTCGGGAGTGGTCTCGCCCAGAGGCAGAACTCCTCGCCCTCTCGAAGCACACGGCATGTCTCCCTCACCCCACCGCGCCGCGGTCGCCTCCCCCTTGCGCGACGCATCTCTACACATGCCCCCATCCCGCGACTCCGAGTCCCAAACGTCTGCCGCTGAAGAGCTCCGCAAGCGGCTGTTCCAGCCGTTCATCCACGGCGAGCAATCGGCCAAGGATGCCAAGGATGCCAACAATGGTGGAAGCACAGAGACAGGCGAGCAAGAGGACGAAGAGAGCGCCGTATCGGACTCGGAGCCCTCGTCGGCCACACTTGGTCATGTTCTTACGAACGTGGTCATCTTGTACGAGTTCATACTTGAGATCTCGGCGATGGTGCAGGCGCGAGGCACGCTGTTCGAGGAGGCGGGATACCCGGGTGTCATGTCTGAGCAGGAGGCTATGGGCTCTGTACAGGATCTGTAGGCAGGAACCTACTATAGATGGGGACTGGTGTATGTTATGTAAATTTGTCAGATTATACCAGAATTGATTATTGTATCCTACTCTAATGGAGTAGAGTATTTATCCAGCGAGAATGGTAAACATCTATTCAGCTAGGAGTAGCCTACCAAGAAGATTGCCTGGAAGGAACATCCTGCTCGTTTTCAATCTGAGCAATGAGATCAGGTGAGGATGTCATCCTTAGGCACGATGATAGACACCTCAGGCCACAGTATCACCTGATGGACCCTGTCGAATCATCCCGAAGCGGCTAGCGTGACGTTCAGATACCGAAAGATGATGATGATGATGACGATTCAACCACTCGGGCATTCAGCATCGCAAGTGTGGTAGACCATGGCTCACATGTGAAAGCACCGTTATCGCTGATCCTGCACCATTCCCTGTTCAGAAACCATCCTGTATCCGGACGATCCTCTATCAGAGCGAATTTCTTCCATGCGACACATGGCGACAGCCTCATCCGTTCCCCTCACCCAACTCTAACACAATGGAGAAGTTTACCCAATTTCGCGATCGAGGTAAGCTCATCCTTCTAACACAGTATTATGTAAATGTCTACAATCTGACAGAGTGTCATTAGGCTCTGGCATCGCGCCCTTCCTGCCCATTCCCACCCAACCAGCCGGTTTCCAACTTCCTGTCCGCGCGTTTCTTTTCTGCGTCCGACTCCCGCTCTTCATCTTCGTCTGCGCCTTGTACTTCCTCGTGTTACAATGGTTTCCGATAGGGTCGCTGGGCAAGAAAGCCTCTCTTTGGTGTATTCTCGGCGTCCCCAGCATCTGGTGGATTGACCTCCAAGTGGACGGCGTGAGAAAGGGGTATGCCATCCATTTCTGTTGACAACCACAGACACGAAGGACATGCTAACAGCAGCTTTCTCAGTTCTCTCGCCAGACAGCAAAACACGCGTCTTCCGGGCCCCGGGTCCGTCATCGCCTCGTCGTTCACCTCCCCCATCGACGCCGTCTACCTGGCCGCTATCTTCGACCCCGTCTTCACCGCCGCATACCCCAACTCGCGCCAAGTAGAGCAAATTTCCCTCTTCCAAGCCATTCTGCGCTCGTTCGCCCCGCCCAGCGAACGCCCACCACCAGGCACGCGCACCGTCGACCTCGCCACGCTCCAGCGGCAAAATCCCGGCCGCCCGATCGCCGTATTCCCAGAGTGCACGACGACCAACGGCCGGGGTATTCTCCCTCTGAGTCCGGCGCTCGCCGGCGCACCCGCCCAAACGAAGATCTTCCCCGTCAGCTTGCGCTACACGCCGGCGGACGTCGTGACGCCCGTTCCAGAAAGCTACATCGACTTTCTGTGGGCGCTGCTCAGCAAGCCGACGCACTGCATCCGGGTGCGCATCGCGGAGGCGGTGATCAGCGGGGCGAAGACCCCTGCACCGTCCGCGGGGTCATCCACGGCCACTCGCCGCTCAACCTACGACGACAACTACCTGGACACGCTGGACCAGGACAGCGCGTACGGGAGCAGCTCCGGCGGAGACGCCGCGGAGGTGTCGCCTAGTGAAAAGGCGATGCTGAACCAAGTTGGAGATGCGCTGGCGCGACTGGGGCGCGTGAAGCGGATGGGGTTGGGCGTGAAAGAGAAGGAGGATTTCGTGAGAATGTGGAATCGGAGGCGGATTCGTTAGGGGTATGCTGTACAGTTTGTATGGTTGAAGGAGTGAGTGCTTGTTGTATAGCCTGGATAGCGCATAGGTATAATATGTAACGATCTTAGACTTAGTCTGCTATTGAGCTCATTAGTTGATGTCAGATCAAGGTGCTTGATATAGTGCTCTCTACGGGCATGAATTTGTTACATGAATGACATGAGTACATCGTCCCCCCATCCTTTTCCCATCTTTCTAATAAATACCCCAACCCGTCAAGACCAAATCCGAGGGCAGGGAGACACTCTCCACCCAACCTTGGATGTATTACATACCACTTCCCTCACCATCTCGCCTAACGCCGTTTAGCCTACGGGGTTGGAAGTCTCCACTTTAATCCCTGTTTGTATCTTATCTTCCTATCGTCAACTGCGTATAACATCTAATAGCAGTACAATAATACCGGTTTTCTCCAGATAATTGAAGGAACGAGTCCGCGTGTGCTTTTCCAGGATACATGAAGCCTTCTATACATCCACCCCCCCCCCGCTAGTCAAGTCCCACCCCATCCTACCGCACCATCCACCCACACAAATAAAAATCTTCCAAAAAGAAAAGGAAAAAAAGAATCGCATAACCTCCCCCGAACCGGAATCGAGCCGGTGACCTTTCGATTACAACATGATATTACAGTCGAACGTGATGAACCAACTACACCATCAGGGGTTTGCGGGTTGCTATTTTAAGGTTTCGCTGGATGATGGAGAGGAATATTCGGAGTAGTGTTGTGCAGGGCTGTTTGGTTGGAGCTAGATGTGAGTTGTAGAAGGGTATATTTGTTTCTTGTTCATTTTTATGGCGTGTGGTTTGGAGGAGGTCTACTTTTGTAGTGGATATCTAAGTCCTACAGATTCTCGAGCTGGGTTCCTCTAAGGATGGCTGTAACTGATCAAGATAATTATACACTCCATGATAGCGCGTTTTCTGTCAAGCCATATAATATAGACACGTCCGTCATCCGGGTATATCAATATTGATCAGCGAGTGGTAGGGCTTAGTCTTGAATAAGGAAATGTATGACTCTCTCCTGCCATCTAGTACTATCCAGCCACGTTGCCTTTGAAGTCTGCTTCTAACCTGGGTCAGGCATCTGACTGGCTTTCTATGCAAGCTATCTACTACTACGTAGTAAGTATGAAAACAACGTGGGGTCTGAGAGGAGAGATTCATGGACTTCAAATAACCGATACATTGTTAAAGAACACCAATTAGTAGTGTTCTGACTTGTATATCTATGAACAGCACTCATAATTCTGACAACATATAGTACTACGTCGTGGCTAGTAGTACTTTCTGTTCCATGCAAGGTACAGAATACAAGCAGGAAAATCAGCCTCTATCGAGTCTACCACGAATATTTCATTTCCTCCAGTATCAAACAGCCCCACAGCCCCACCACGCCAACGTCCGAAATTTGCAATCCCAATCCACAAACCAACTGCAAAAAAACAAAAAGCAAAAAGATAACCCTCCCCCGAACCGGAATCGAGCCGGTGACCTTTCGATTACAATAAGATATTACAGTCGAACGTGATGAACCAACTACACCATCGGGGGTTTGGGGTTATGGCGTTGGTTTTTCAAAATGGTATATGGATTCGGGTAGACTTACACATCCATGAATCTTGTAAAGATTGTCGGTAGAATAGGAATTATGTTCTTGTAACAGCATGATATAACAATGCTATCTGCGTTGCATTCTCTCACGGTGCACACTTTCTATTACCTTATGCGATATCCACGTATATATCTCAAGCCAAGTAGAACAAGCGAGGGAAATATGCAGACACGCCTCATATGAGTAGTAAGTTATGATAATCTAGTATCAATCAGAAGATAAGATCAAAATATGTAATCATGTGAAGAGAGCAACAGTCCACCTATAAGTAGGTAGATAGAGCATCTTTTAATCACTCAATTATTTGGTCTTTCGCCTAGTGATAAAGCATTGATAGAAATATAGTGATAAAAGTCAGTATGGTATTTTCTAGCTAAAAAGGGTTACCATATTGAGCAGATATGGCACTATCCCCACAATCAACATTGGATCTTTCAACTCAGATATTGAGTACTACATAAAAAACTACCAAGACAAATTTAACTGGCCACACACAAGAAGAAATCAACAGCCACATCAATTTATCGACCAGAAACTGTGGCAAATCAACGGCATGGGGACCTGCAGCCGCGATGATCAATGAGGCAGTGCGTTTGCCATCCGCCTATCACCACTCTTTCTGTATATCTGGGAAGAGCAAAACCGGTTCAGCTGGAGTCGTAGTCCCTGCATGAAATAATGGGGACATCCTTGTCATTCCTGGTCGTGTTGGTTTTCTTCTTTATTTGTTCTTGTCGAGGTACTGTTTCTTTCTTACTACGATCGATCCCTTCTTTGATGTTCGGCCTCAATATACTGTATCTCCACCATGACATGGTTTTCACACAAACGACGTCACAGAACACAAAGTGTAGGGAACGGCCCAGTTCACAGTTCCTCTTCGAATACACACATCCGTGGATCTTCCCATCCCTCCCATCCAGTATATGCCGTCCCGGTCGGGGCCACAACGACTCACTCGCTCGTCAAGCCACTGCAACCAGGTTCATCAGTCCATCTAGCCCCAGCACCATCCTCCCCTCCACGGCGACCACTAGCAAAATGGACATCCCACGCAAACCTGTCAGGAATGCTCTTACACCCCGTTGACACGGCTAGCACGGCCGTGGCCGAGTTGGAGGATCAGATGCGCGAGTGGTGGGCAAGCGGTGTGGACGTCTATGGCTTGTTCATGCGGAAGCTAGATGACACGATAACTGCAATGGACGAGGGACTATTTACGGAGAAGGACCGCGTGGATATGGGTGAGTAGCAACGCACATTACTATATATAAAGTTAAGCTCTGGGCGCTGACACCTCCGTAGCATCCACATACCCTGTGCGGGATACTGGCACCGTCTACCGTCCAGCGCCGTCGGAAAAGACCTCCCGGTACGCGGCCTATTTTGCCAAAGTCTATGTCTATCAGAACTCGCGGCTTCCGCCCAACCTTCCATCGCTTCGATTGTAGGTCTACTAAGCAAGGGTTTCTATGTATCATGCTGATGAGTAGACAGACACCCGCAAACCTTTGCCCTCTTCCGTCTCGCGGCGCAGTACTCCCGTGATGTGTACTATAAGCCAATGCACAGGGACAGCTGGTCGTACGTGGGCTCCGACTGGCGCCACGGCACCAAGGCCATGATGATCAAGTCCGTGGCGGTCGCAGACATGAACACCGTTGTATTGGCCATCCGCGGCACACAGAGCTTTCGCGACTGGGCCGTCAACGTCAAGACCGCACCCACCTCCCCCAACGGATTCCTAGACGACCCGTCCAACGCCTGCCATGCCGGGTTCCTGTCCGTCGCGCAGAACATGATCCACCCCGTGGCGAGTCGCCTGCGCAAGCTGATAGCCGCAAACCCCGGGCGTGCGCCGTACTCGCTGCTCATCACGGGGCATTCCGCCGGCGGGGCGGTCGCCAGTCTGCTCTACTGCCACATGCTGTCGCTGACGGCGCGGTCCGAGCTGGCTCATCTCGCCAGCTTCTTCAAATCCGTTCACTGCGTCACATTCGGCGCCCCGCCCGTGTCCATCCGGCCGCTGTTTCCGCCGCCATCGCCCTCCCAGCAGCGATCTGCGTTCTTCTCGTTCGTCAACGAAGGCGACCCCGTCGCGCGCGCCGACAAGACATACGTCACCTCGCTGCTGAACCTGTATGCCTCGCCGACGCCACACTGGTGCCGAAAGTACAGCTGGTGCCCTCGCAAAGACAAGCCCGCCGTCTGGCGCGTGCCGGCCGCGCCGCTCTCTCTCGCCGGGCAGATAGTCGTCCTGCGCGCTCGATCGAACTACTACAGCCTGCCGGGCGAAGGACCCGAAGGCGTCGAAGCGTGTCTGACGAACGACCTCGGGCTGCGGCAGATCGTGTTTGGCGATCCGCTAATGCACGCAATGGCGCTATACGCGCGGCGGATCGACGAACTCACCACGGAAGCTTATCGATGAAAAACAAGCCTTCGCTGACCGACATATACACACACACCTGTTCTTGCTCACTCAAGGTCCTCAAACCCAACGGGTAACTCCACCCCCGCAATCCACGCGCGCACCGTCCGCGCAAACAGCTCGGGCTCGTCAATCTGCCACGAATGCCGCGCCCCACGGTGCAGAACGGCCCTACTGGCAGACGCAGGGCCATTGCCAGTGCGCGTCACCGACTCCAGCAGTCTTCTAGCATCATCCTGCCTGTCCCAAGCAGGCAACAACAGGCCCTCCCTGGCCGCAGCAACAACCACCAACGCAGAGACACTATCACCGTCGATCCTCTCCAGCTCGCGCGCCGACACCACCATCTCGACAGCATCGCGACACAGATCCAGCGAGCCTTCCCCGCGCTGCAGCCGCGCCATCCCCTCCGTCGGATGAGACAGGAGCTCGGCGGTGTGCAGCCAGAAGTACACCAGCGGCGGCAGCAACGGCGTCAGCACGTTCGGAGCGAAGATATTAAACCCGGTGACGACGAGCGACGACACGCGCGCGGGGTAATGCGCCGCAAGCTGGGCGGCTATGTGTGCGCCCAGACTGGCGCCCACGACGTGGGCGGTGCCGCCGTGCGCGTGGTCGCGGATGAGCTGGCTGAGGAGGTAGGCCGTGCTGTAGACGCTGAGGGGCTTGAGGTGGAGGGAGGTGCCGTGGGAGGGGAGGTCGGGCACGACGACGTGGTAGGGGTGTGGTTCGGAGGTGAGGTGTTGGCGGACTTGGTCCCATTCGGTGCTGTTGGAGAAGCCGCTGTGGATGAGGAGGATGGTTTCGGGGCTGGAGGGGTTGTGGGAGGTGAAGGAGAGCATTTTCTTCTTTCTTTTTTCTTTCTTCTTTTCTTTTTTTCTTTCCTTTTCTCTTTTTCTTTTGTCTTTTTCGCTTCCTTCTGCTGTCGCAATGTAGATACAGTCGATATTCGTATAGTGTATAACATGTACAGTATATATTTATAGAGCACATTCAAACCTCACCGTAGAATCTGTCAAAAATCCAAAAACAACAACCCCCAGACACCAAAGAGGGGCTCAATCTCAAATTTCAGACCGACGCGACAACGAGGCTCTGCGCAGTTGTGTCCAAGCTGGTCAGCACTAGCAGTTAGTGAGCTGGCGCTTGCTGCACGGTGATGTCAGCGTAATCACGACAATAATATAATCATAGCGCAGCAGCGGACACCTACTTTATATAAAAGAGTCACGCAAGACACTCTTTATATATAACTACATATAAATGAGAGAACGAAAGAAGAGGGGCTGTGCCATGTGATAACTAGTCAAGCGTGACCTCGTTTGATACATTCATATCATGGTATGAGGGGATGACTAGCCAGGATGCTGGGATCAGGCGCATGCATGACTTGCCTTGTTTCGGGCAATTAATTACTGACATTATGGAGAGGAGGAGGGTGGTGAAAACAAGACATGGCCTATGAGTCTAGTGCGCGCTATCAAACTCAAATATATATTATAGTAAGGTGTTTCTCCTCGGATGGCGGTTCGTATCCGCGTATCTGTTGTCCCCTTGTCTTTCCCGGAGAGTCAGTATCGATTATCTGCCTCGTAAACATGAGTTACTTGTCAGACTCTCGTGCACTCTTGATAGTTTTGGCTACTGTTTCCGCACCCCAGCCTCCCTGCTTACTACTCGGTTAGGCCACTGTACGTATAATGCGCGACACCACGTAGCCATATTCAGCCGCCTGCTAACCGTCCCTTCAACAAAATCAAACTTAGCAATGACTTTTCATTCTGTGGGTTGAGAGTCTGATTCTCATTTTTGTGTGGTGTGAGGTTTGAATGGTTGGATCGGATAAACTACATTGAGACCACTCCTCGTCTGTAGTTTACGCAGGCTGTATGAAAAAAGTATTTACTGCAGTATGTATACTTTAGATTATATTATATTGACATGCTTTTAACCAAAAGAATCCATCTCGTGCTCTGCTCTTGAACACACTGCAATGTCATGGGAGCATGAACTAAGCGAATACGGAGTATAAATATTTATATATAGAGGTGTCCAGCTTACCAAACAGTCAGCTCAACGCATTCATCTTCTAAAATTAGCTCAATATCCATATACTGCAATGCAGCGCTGCAGCATTTCTACATTCTAACGGTCAAAAAACAAAATAAAAATAACATCAACCGATTTAGAATGCTAAGACCTGTCTGGACGGATGCCTGCAGCAACATTGACATGCATGCATTATTGTATATGGGTCGAGCCTAGTAATGACTCGGAGTTCAGACAGGACTCCCCGATCTGATCGATATCCCATCTATTAGTTAGACTATCTCCAGTGGAGGTCTCTATCTTCTACTACCATGGATGAGTGTTGAAGAGCAATATTTCGTTACAAGGCGATCTTGATCTAGATGCTTGGCTTCTTGTACATACAGAATGCGACATGCTGATGCGATACACGAGTGGATAGCAACACGAAAAAGGATAAATAAAGAGAGAAAAGAAAGG